TCATCTAACTTTCTCCAGCCATTAAAATGACAGTTCAAAAGCTTTTAAGTCTTCCTACCTGTGTAGCCCCCGTGAAGTTGTGCCTTTAAAAATGCTTGTCCCATTTGAGCCCTTGGTGGGGGGGGTAAATCATGAGTTGCCTTGTGCTGCCGGCATTGACCCCCTGCACCGAGGCCCTGGTCTTTCAGCACAGCCCAGCAGCTGACAGAGCAGCTCGGGGAGGGGAGGAGGGAAGCAGCAGTGGCTGTGCTTGCCTGCTCCCGAGCAATAAAGCGTGTCCCTGGGCTGGTCCCCCGCTGTAATTTACGGCAGCCTGGCTGCTGCCGCGGGGCCCGGCTGCCAGTGGCCACGAGGGCCTGCTGAGAGGGCTGTGGATGAGCAGGGATGAAGCAAGCTGTGGACTTGGCCCTCTCCTCCCTCTGCTTATGCCTGGCTCAGCAGGGAGGCTGGAGAGGATTAGGGAAGCTGCTCTGCCAGCTCTCTGCCATTGGAAAACCTTCAAGCTCCGGGAGATGTTCCCGAGGCCGGCTCTGCAGTTAAGTACAGCACAGTAACAGCCAGTAATTGCACCTCACCCAAGAGATTGGGACTTAAAGCTCAACTCTGTCGCATGAAAATATTGGTGCACGCAGCGTCCCTGAGCAGGAGCAGGTTAATGTGTCCAGCGCTTCCAGTGTTGCCTTGAATGCCTTCTCCTGTGTTGTACTGAACTTGCTGACATTTGAGGGTGTAAAAATACTGATCTGCCTGCACGCTCCAAGCCTGGTTTACATTTGGCAGCTCTAAATGGTAAAGCTCTTGCATGTCACCAGCTTTTTATATCTTGGCTTATAAGGCAAAGGGAAGAGGTGACACAGGTAACAGCGTATCATTGAAGGGAAAGGGATGTTTGATGGTAGAGAGAGGATAGTGCTCATTTGGTGTATAATGTCACAGATTGCTTCATGTTTAACTCTATATAAAGATATTGTCCAGGGAGCATTTTCTGCATTACTCAGAACAACATCAGCTCCAGCAATTGGTTGCATTCAGCATAAATATTTTGAGTTCTTCATTACCATTACCAGAAAATAGTAATTGTTGCATCTTGCACCTTCTCTTTTTTTAAATTAAACTTGGCAGGACCAACCACTCCTTCCTCATGCCAAATTATGCACTGTGGAGCTCAGTCCATGAAATTTTATTGTTGCAGTTGATGTAAATTGCGTCTAATGGGCAGATGACTCATGGCTGTGCTGACAGCCAGCTTTGCATCCTAAAGGCATATGCCAGCAGGTTGGAAGCATAGGCAGAATAAACAGGGTTTATCTCTGTTTTCCCTTTCTGGGATAGTTTTCTTCCCAGTGCTGGCCTGCAGAGCTCCTGGGATGCCACTCTTTGCTCGGGTCCCTTGTACTGTGGCTGCAGTGGCCTTAACAAAGCACTGTATGTTGGTGCCAAGGATTGAGGGCTGTGGGTGAGGGCAGATCTGATCATTAAGCAGGATTTCAAGGACTCATGTAGGCTTTCTATACTGGGAACAAGCCATCAAGGTACAGTTCCTTTGGTTGCCCCCTCCCACCCCACTGAGAATTAATTTGTGGAGGATGTGGGAACACAGCACTCAAAACTGGAGGCCATCATCTCATTACCTTCCTGTGCTCCCAAGTCTCCCGTAGCTGGAAGCGTGGTTGTTTGTGATGTTGTTGTCGGGATCAGATTTGGTTATACAGCACTGTGTATGCCTGTGGCCCAGCCCCACCCTGAAGGCATTAATGTGATGTAACTGGTACATTAGTGGGAAGCTAAACCAGTTTGGGATGCTGGTGAGGAGGGATTTCTGCCCTACTGCAAAACCTCTCAAGGCTGATGTGGAGAATCCAGCTTTGCACTGGAGCGAGTCCAAACCCCTCTTCCCACTCTGGTTGTGAAGTACAAGGTAAATAAAAACATGATTGTTATTTTGTGGAAGGGCTTCTGAAGGCTTTAGAAGAAGGGAAGGTGACAGCTACAGAGCAGGAATGTCCAGAACTACCGTAGCATTTGTTAAGCTACCGACAAGAAAGTTTACTCCAGCCTTCTGTAACTTCATTTAAAACACGGTATAATTACTGTTTATGCTAAAGCCTAAAGCTGCTTCCTGTTTCCAGTGTAGTAATTGTGCCAGAGGCACACCATTTATTCCCAGTGTATCAGCCCAGGATATGGTCATTACCACATTAATAGGAAGTACCTTCAAATTGTTATCCTTGGCAATAACTGTATCCTGGAGTAACAAACTTCTTGCCATTCAGCGTTCGAGTTTATGAGTATCTCCTGAGGAGAATAAACAGGAAAGCACTTGCCCTCTCTCCCCTGCCCCGTTGCTTTAAATGCAATTAATTAATCTTAAAGTTGATTTTAGAATCTACTGCTTCGAAGATACTGCCGGTGCACCAATATGTGCTAAAGGAAGGGGTTTGTGCTCTCCCAGTGTTATGGTGTTATGTATAGACTGGGCTGAGGAGTGGGAAAGCTGGAAGTTGCCTCTATGGTACAGTAACTCCAGAATGGAATTGGTGTCCCCAAACATCTGGGTGCCCCATCAGTTCTGCTGCTCCAGGGTGGAGTGCACCAGGCTAGGGTGAGTAATGCCCTTTGCAGAGGGCTGGTCACTGTGAGGAAATGCCACATGAAGTGGTGATTTAATTCTGTGGCTTGACTTGGGTATTTGGCAGTGGCAGTTTCGGCCTCCTGGATTTGGAATTGTGGCAGTGACTTGTTTTAATTTCTTGAACCAGCTTTAAGCATCATATTTACCAACTGTTGTTTCCAACAAGAAAATATGTAAATTTTAATTAATCCAAGCTGAAGTTAAAAAGGAAACAAGCCTCTGCATTGGTGGGGGAGGTTAAGGGACTGGAGTCCTTTGGCTCTTTTTTCCTATGGGATTCAATCTAAGTGCTCATTTCACTACTTTTTGCATTCCAAGCCTGTCCAGCTTGCTCTGTTGTGGTGGGATGGTTTGGTGGTATTGAATGTGTCCTGTTTTCTGGCCACTGTTGCTATACCAGTGAAGCCCAATTTGAGGGTTTTTTGTTGTTGTTTTTTTTTTTTTTGCCTCATCCTTAGTTTTGCTTAAAAACTTCCCTGGCACTTCCTTCACAGCTGAGTATGGTCTGCTCTGGGGGCTGAGTGAGCTCTGCATGCTGTCGTGCCAGAGGGGAGGTTTGGAAAGGCCCCACAATGCTGCAAGGTCCAGCTTACTGGGGAAGTGCTCCAGCATCCTGGGCTGCCCAGGACTACAGATGGAAGAGGAAATTACTCTTACTCCAGTAAGAGAAATTATAACTTCACCTCAGTGCATCCTATTCCTTTTCCTATAACCTGGAACTGGCAGGCAGCTCTGAAAGGCCCTTGTGCATATCCTGGCTGTTGCAGGAGAATCAGCTGCGGATAAACATTTCCAGTAGGATTGGAGAGTTTCCTGAACACCTCGTGTTCCTTCTGAATTAGTGCTGGTGCACAGGGGGATTCCTGGAGATGGCTGTGCCTGTGCCAAGCACATTTCACACCGTGCAAGCCAGTTCCTCACCTAGGAAGCAACAGACTTGGGCACTGCACTCCAGTGTCTCCACACGCTTATGCTGTCAAATCCCAAAGGCATCATCTGCCTAACTATTGGCAGGGAGCTCTTCCATTCCTCCCTTTTACTGACTGTGAATGTTTCGTGGGAGTGCAGGGGTCAGTCAGGTTTGGATCTCTCACGACAATTAGCTCTGCAGCTCCAGTTGTATTGGATTTCACCAGAGGATGCTGAGGGGGGGAGCACAGCTACATGCTTAATTGGGTGTTTAATCCCCTCAGGGCCTTTGTCTCTTTGAGAGTCTCCATTGAGTGCAGTGCTAATGCTGTCTGGTCTCCAATTGCCGCAGCTGTTAATTGCAGGAAGAAAACAAAATAATGTTTCTTGGATGGAAAGTCAGCTCCTCGATTCTGTCATGTCATAGAACTTCCGAGTTTCCATGTAGGTCTATCCAGCTGCTAGCAGGAGGTGTACATTTGACAGGACTCGAAATACTTGGTTGAAGGGTCAAGGTGCTGTCAGCTGCAGTTTGCTGTTCATCTTCAGTGGGACTGTCTTACGGACTGTTTTGTTCCACTCTGTGCTGGGGGAAAGCTTTGCCATGCCAATATCCTAGGCTGGGTATTGGGAAGAGTGTGATAAATGCTAATGCTGGAGAGGATGTGTTTAAAATTATCCTGGCCTGGAACTGGCAGTGGCCCAGCCTCCTCTTGAGAAGAGCAAAGCCAGGAAGGAGTTGATTTCCAGGGCCTGACCGGGCTTCTTTGGCCGGACCATCAAGCCAGTTCTGTTCTCATGATGCACAAGGGAGGAGGGAAAAAATAGCTTTTGACTTTTTTCTCCATATGAAAGGATTTGGAATACTTGTCAAAGGCAGTGGAGGGGAAATTTGCTTCTTTTGGTGTTGTTTTCCTCTTTTTGCTCCATGTCTGTATGGGTTCCAGGGCAGTGCAGGTTTAGCAGCAGTGCTGGTGAACTCAAGTGTCAACTATAAAGATGCTTCTCTTGGCTGGGTGTGGGGAGCAGCCTATGAAAACAAACTGGAAAACTTCAAAGTGTTTGGAGTGAATGTAGCATTCCCTCAAAGATGGGGAAGTGCTGCTGTAAACCTAAAAACTTGGAGTTTTTTTTTGTCTAGGAAGAGGGCAGTACAAAACTTTCATAGCACATGCTAGATGTTCTTGTGTGTTCATTTTGACTTTAGTAAAAAAAAAATTCAAGGAGAATTTTTCACTAAAGCTGAGGCTTCACAGCACTATAAATCATACAAAAACTGCTTAGTGTCTGTCTATGAAGTTACAGTTGATGTTAAGACCCTACTATTTCTGCACAATTAGAGGCAGGAGGTGCTAATGCAAGAAACAAAATATAAGAAATAATAACTGTTTTGTGTATTTTTGTTGGTTGAAGGAAAGATTTAATGGCTTCCACTTATTGTTGTTTTATCTTTCTGCAGGGACGTGAAAGCAGGAAATATTCTTCTTGGAGAAGATGGCTCAGTGCAAATCGCAGGTAACTTTCCTGGTAGCTCTGAGTAAACTTTAGGCATAACTGCATATCCAAAGAAATTATTTAATGATCAAGGAGAGATCTACAAAAAAAGTGTTGGCCTCAAAAAGCCCCACAGTTCTTAAAACAAACAAACAAAACCAACAACACCAAAAACCCCAACAATAAACAAACCACAAACCAAACCAAGAAAACAACTCAGAATTCATTACATCTTGTTATCTTAAAATACTCTTATTTGGAACAATGACAACAAGCAGGAATAAATCATTTGACTGTCAAGTGCTCAGAATCAATAGATCAGATAAAATTCTTGGCACAAGCTAGTCAGATTTTTAACTCAGCAGATTTATAGGCTTGGAAGTGGAGTGCACAGACCTCGCTGATTTATCATCAGTGTGTAAGGTGGTTTTCCAAAGGGCTGTGGCAAAGGGTGGATTGATTTGTCAGAAGGAAATGGGTATATCTGATAGTAAAGGTCCCTTAGAATCTTGCCAGAAAGATCTGCTGGTCACACTGCTCGTGTGGCTGTTCCCTGGTGTGCTCCAGTTGAACTGGGTGGCAAAGGGGGTGTTTAACTGGCTGCCCTCACCCAGCCCACCCTGGAGTGAGCGGGAAGTCTTGGAAGCAGTCATGCACGCTTAGGGATAGGGGAACCCCTTAAGACAGTTGTTTTAGCTAATACAGATGTGCCTGGAGTTGTGTGTTGTAGTCAGGGTTGTCATGAGCTGCAGCAACACAGGTGTGTTGGAAACAGTCCTTGGTGTGTCTGTGGAAAAGGGTGCTGTGGGGTGTGTTTTGCCCCCCCAATCCCACTCTGATATTTTCTTTCATACGTGTTCCTACAGACTTCCCTCTTCTTTTCAGAAACCAAGAATCACACCCCATCCTTGGAAGCATTCATTAAGACAGACAAGATTTTTGGAGAGTACATTTAGAACCTGTGATATTTGTTTTTCCTCCTCTTCCCAGGGTGCTGTTTTCCTGCACTGAGTACAGTTCTTCTCCAACTGCCCTTTCTCTCAGGACTCCGTTCTTCCCGTGGATCTTGCTGTGCTTTTCCAGGCCCTGGGCCACCTCTAGCTGGAGGGCAGTGCCTGTTGCATTTTTTTATTCCTTTGGAATATCTATGCCTGGCTTTGCATCTTGGAATGAAAGCTGTAGATTTTCCAGCAGGAAGCAGAACATGTTGCAAAGTGGTTTTTATAGGTAGCTCTCCCCTCTCTTCAGAGGACAATAATCCCTTTTACAGCACATAACACCCATTTCTGTGTATAACCTGAAGTTGCTTTGTTTTCCTTTTTAAGTCTCCCAGTACCCTTAAAGCCTGCTGTTATATTTCTAATGAGGTGTAAATAATTAATCTGTGTGGCAGCTGATGGAACGTAGGGAGTGGTTTCTAAAGTGCTCAGAGGAGCAAACTTTTTACAGTAAAATCCTAGATTTTTTTTTTTAAATAATGGGGCTTGGATTTGTAATTGCGTGGAGCTTTAGATTCTGTTTTGGGAGAGGCTGCAAATAGCTGTTATTCTGAGTGTTTCTGCCAGCCTAGAGAAAGCTGCTCGTGTTTCTCTTCTGCAAGGGTGCCAGGGCTTGGCCTTTTTTTTATACTAAGTCTCACTGGTAATAGGTACCTGTTCGTGTATTTTTTTCTGCTGAATAATTTTTAGTTGATAAGTAACTTAAAGGTTGATTGGTCTTAACTGTATGAATTCCAAAGGATTTGTTTTGTCTGTAATCTGTACATGCTCCCCTAGACTGAACTACTGGTGGTTTGTATGTGCAACATTTAAATGATGAAATCCACCCCTCAGCCTATCCTGTGAAAGCAGCACTGGGAGATGTGCAAAGTTCCCTCTTTACAAACTCTTCCTTTGAACGTGCAGAAGGTCCAGCTCTGTGACTTTTCATCAGCCACAGCAGGGCCACTAAACTCAACCAAGGTCAGCGAGTTCACCCAGTGGCAGGAAGCACTTTCGTTTCTGTGGAGGCAGCTGATGACTTGAAAGAAACGAAAATAAATTAATGAATAATAGAGAAGAACCTGACCTGGTCAGAACACGAGAATTTTGTTTCTGTGGGAATTTCTGACACTTAAGCTTCCTTTCCTCCTGACCCAGGATGAAATAGCAAAATTTCTCGCAAATTCTTTTGGGAAGAAAAAATGCTGGAAGCAAACCAATCCCAATAAAATGGGATTTGTTTCAGCGAGATCAAAGCACTTGCCTTTGACAATCATATTAATGCATATTATGAATAATTCTGTTGATTGAGTGCTTCAGTTCTGAGCCGAGTGACATCACTGCGTTCCCATGAAACAAACATGTTTAAGTTTCGTTGGAAAGTTACACCAGAAGGAAAAAACTGAAAAGATGATCAGCTGTGGAATGAAGCCTGAGGGTCAGAGTGAATGGGGCACCTCCCTGCAAGGAGCTGGTTTGGTGTACATGAAAAATTTAAATAATGTAGCAGGGAAGAATGGCTTCCATTCTTTTATAATGACTTCTTTCCCTCTTGCCATTCCTCAATCCAAACTGCCTGTGAAGAATTGTTAAGAAGATCTTATTCAATGTTTGGCCTTTGCAACCTTGTGTTCCTGTGTGTTTCCTACTGCTTGACACGATTCCTGCTTCTTGTCTCAGAAGAAATGTAATTCTTAAATGTAAATGAGGAGTGTACATCTCAAACTGGAAATCCTTTGAGGAAAAGAACAAAGTGCTTTCAGGGTTTAGAAAAAAATGCTCATCCCTGTAATGGAGGAAACCTCACTGCTGGGCTGTACCTTCACAATGGATCAGTGAAGTTAATTACTGGAAACTTTCACTGTGGTAGAATTCGTGGCAGGAATTTTGCTGCAGGATTCTACAGTTCTAACCAGTGAAAATTAAAGCCTCCTTCTTTGATTTGGGCCATGCAATTCTGTTAAGGCTGAACAGAAAAAGCAGCTTGATGAAAGTGTGTCAGACATTTCTCAGGTTCTGTTTGCAGCTCTGAATTGGTGGTTGTGCATCCGGTGTGAAAGCTGCTGGGGGAGCAGGTGAAGAGGTGGAGGAGAAATCTGTGAACTCGGGGGCATTTGCTGGGAGTGGGAATTCTAAAAATTCCTCTAATGGCCCGCACAAATTCCCAGCTTGAAACTCCTCCCCAAGTCTTGGGACTTGGTATTTTTACTCATGGCTCTATTTTTAACTCTGTAGCTCCTTTTGCTTTCAAAATGTGCATCCACTGAACCAAGGAGAAAATTGTCTTTAATAGACCCAGCTGACCAGCAAGAAGTAAACTCAGTTAGTTTGTTTCTGTGCTAACACTTTATTCTTTTTCTTCAAGGGCACCAGCTTGGGCTTGAGGCTTGGCACGGAGTTTTCAGAGCCTGTTACAATTCAGTGTCGCTTTCTGAGTTTGAAGTGTTTTCCTGCACACTGAATTAATCTGTCTTCTGGAGAGAGCAGGACTGTTTCCCAGATACCATTGTTCTGGGCTGTGGTTGCAATGTAAATTGAGATAGCCACGTTCTTTTGTGCTCCAGCCTCTCCATGGCAGTTATTTCTTTTAATCAGGGCATAAAACCTCCGTGCCCTGGCATTTATTGGCTCCCTGGAGTCTAAAAGCTGTACGGTAAAAGCACTCTTGTCAACGTAAACTGCATCAGCAGCAATATTGCTGCATAGGCCAGGAGATGACTTCTCACAGCAAGCAAGGCTTAGCATTTGTCAGTTTACTTAACTTTGCAGGCCCTGTAAATTATTGTGAAATGAAGTGAGCATCTTGATAGATCGGAAAGGGATGGGGAGAGGTTGAGGGGAAACTCTCCCAGGGTGCACAAGACTTGCTCAGTATGAGCCACACTCCAACCATGGCACGATATCAGCATCCTACTGAGTCAGAATACAGAATAAATCTTATTTTTCTCCTTGATTTTGTCAGCTGGGATATTAAATAATGCTGTTGCCCACTCCTCTGTGATTGAATGTGATGATAGAAGAGCCTGCTGAGGGCTGAGAGCACACATCCCTCCACGGGTGGGATTTTTTGGTTGCAGAGTATCTCCAGGATTTGAAAGCAGGGAGTTATTAACGCGCACTCCGAGAGGTGCCCGGAGCGCCTGCCATGGCCCGGGATGGCCGCGCTGCCAAGCGGCTGAAGTAGATTGAGATTTCACAAAGTTGTTCAGGACTTGCTAATTGATCCTGGGCAAATTGCCCGACCCCTCTCGCTTTATCTATTTATAAAATGGGGATAGTTAAGGCCAGGCAAAACTTGTGTAACTGAATTTGTGTAACTTTCCACAAATCCATGCCAGCTTGTCACCGGTTCGCTGTGTTCCTGACTGCTCTTAATTCATTGTACCAAAATAGCGCTCTACATAAACATCGAGCTATGGTGCAGGCAGTGTCGTTCCCCACTTTCCCTTAGGAAACTCTAACTTTGGGAGATTAAGTGGCTCTAAGAAGGGGCAAGGCACAAATCTAACTTGGGGGAGGGAAGTGTCGATTGCAGCCGGTGTTGTATCACGGACACCAGGATCTTCTTCTCCCTTTCAGAAGAAAGGCCAGAAGTATTTTTCTCTGTGGCTGGTGGAGATTTTTAGTGCCTCTCCTGCAGCAGCATGATGGGAAGTAACTTTTCTTTGAGTCACTTGTACTATCTGTGTTTCCTGAAGAGATGTTGCACTGTTTTGTTGTTGAAATCACTTCTCCAAGGGCAGTGGGAGGCTTCACCCAGCCCAGGCTTTGTCATCCTGAAGTTGCTTTGTGCAGTAGGAGAACAAGTGTGTATTTACGGATCCAATGCCACTGTGCATCCACACAGACTTTAAAAGGAAAAAAGCTTTTGATTTTTGTTCTCCACTCACCTTCCTTTTCTCTGGTGTCCAATCACCTACTGCTTTCTCAGCACAAAATTGCTGTTTGCCACGGCCTTCCTCCTTTTCCTGCCAGGTTTAGTTATCTTCAGTGCTCTAAAAGCTGTAAGGTTTGCAGGAAAACACTTAACTACAACTGCAGATATTTTCTGATGGAGAACAGCTGAACAAGAAGGAAAGCGAGTGGTAACAAAACCACTTAGTGCTGTCTTCTGAAATACTTTTTAAATGCAGCTCTGACTGGTTTGAAGTCTGGTCTCAAGCTCTGCCAGGGGAGGTTTAGGTTGGATATTAGGAAGAAATTCTTTACGGAGAGGGTAATCAGGTATTGGAATGGGCTGCCCTGGGAGGTGGTGGATTCTCTGTCCCTGGAGGTGTTTAAGAAGAGACTGGATGTGGCACTGAGTGCCATGGTCTAGTAACTGTGGTGGTGTTGGATCAAGGGCTTGACTTGATGATCTCAGAGGTCCTTTCCAACCCATCTGATTCTATGATTCTAAGTCAAGATTGGATTATTCAGTTGTTCAGCCCCTGTTGAAGTTAGGAACTGCTTTAGGGTCTGATCCAAACCCACCAGACTCTGGAGGAGCCCTTCTGATATCAGCAGGCTTTTGTCCTGGTTCTTAGTGCACATTCCTCTTGTCTTTCCCTTCTGTGTACCTTGTAGGCAGCTTCATGCAGTAGCTTTTTAGGATTAAGGTAATGTTACAATATGAGATGGCCAAGGAGAGATGATTTTAAAAAAAAGACTTCTAGATTTGGGTAGAGCAATACATATTGTGGTAGAAATGTGTCTTCCTGTGGTAAAACACATTGTGATGTGGTCCTGCCACAGCATTCTTGGATTGGTGAGTTGTTCAGATGGAGTGTTTCCTCTCAGCTTTTACATTTCTTGAGTGGCCAGAGTAGTTTTCAAGTTTGATAACTTGGATACCTTAATAAGCAGGAATTGTTGCCTAATACCGTGCTTTTTCAAATGCTGGTCTGCAACTTCGTTGCTACTGCAGAGTGTCCTGTAGGGTACGTGGTTTGAAACGTGATATTTCTACTGAAAAAGACAACATTTGCCATATTTTTTGCAGAGTCTGCATCAGCAGAATTGACATTCCCATCCTGGACTGATTTTACTGTGATATGAGAGTCTGGAGATACATATATATAGATATAGATATGTTTTTCTTTTTTTTTTTTTTTTTTTTTTTAAGAAGTCTTTGGTTTATATCACTGAAACAGCTCCAGCAGATGAATATTTTCTACACTGCTGCAGAAAAAAGATTTAAAAAAAAGATCCTTCCACTTTCACTCAGACACCCTGGAGATGTTATTTGCTAACAGACTGCTGGAAGTCTGCAGTATTTGGGCTCCTTTAGGATATCTGACAGTCGGTGGATCCCCAGCAGTGGTGGTTACTGGTATTGCAAGCCAGGTCCAAGCGTTTCCAATTCCTCCCTGTTTCTGGTGATTCAGTCCTTTCCATAGTGAACCAATATAAACTATGAGCTGCCAAGGAAGAGCACAAATGTAAACACTTCTGAGCTCTCTTGAATTTCATGGCTTTTCCCATTTTCTGGAGTTAAATTCACTTGCAATAACCTAGTTCTGTTTGAGAACTGAGGCTGAGAATTGTACCAACTGCTCAGAAGTAAGAGCTGAACCCGAACTTGTGGTTAGGATTGTATTTTATTGCTTTGTAGATATTTCTTGAGAGCAGGCACATTCTTAATAACTGGGGCTTGGATAAAGTTAGTAAGGTGACATTTGAGAAGATGGTCTTAAAGTTATTCCTTACAGCAGAGTAGCACAGGCTGGTTGAACCTGTTTTAGCCCACTGGAAATGAGGGAAATTGATTGGGAAAACATTGAATAAATCAACCATGTAATGAAATAAACTTTAATTCCATTTAAGCTTTTTGCTGACCTCAGATGGCAGATGTAGGGGCCCAGTTTCCATCTGGAATTTATAAACCCATGTTTGATGTGAGATGTGGTGAATATTGTTTAAAGGACTTGTGTTTTTACTGCTGGAATGCTTTTTGCTTTGAATGGCATTTCCTTTCCCCTCAAAATGACTGCATGGAAACTTGAGGTAAGATAATACATGCGAGTTCAAATACAGCACATCACAATAAAATACTGATGGCACTTGGACGAGTTTCTGTTGGTATTATCTTATTTAAAAGAACTTTTAATTGCTCTTGTGTTTAGAACAATAGATCTTGCGAGACTTCCTGTAATAAGCAGTAAAAGACAAATAACTTGAATCTTTCAGGAAGCTCCTTCAGTTTCTGAGAAAAGCAAGGATAGTGGATACTCACATGGAAGATCTCAAAGCAAAATCAGTGTTGCAGAAAGTATTTCCAGAAAAATAGGAGTTACAGTGCTGATGGGACAAAGAATCCATCTAGGAGTGCTAAAACTTCAAGGTTAGAAGGAAGCCAAGATGCCTCTGGGAACAGGGAAGAGAACAGGGCAGCACATCTCTAAAGCTGCATCCTAATGATGTGATAGACCTTGGCTAGTGGTGGTTTTAGCCCAGTGATTGCTGTGAAGCTTCCTACAGTGTCACCTTGCAGTAACCATGTCCAGTAACTTCAGTGAGCACTGAGTCCCTGGCCTTGGAAGTCTCTAACTGAAGTGAGCTGGAAGCTTCCTGAGTGACGATTTCAGTGGTGTTTCTCAAACATTGAAAGTCTGATGAGAAAGGACTCATTACACTGCTGGTGTGATGCAGAGGGGAGGCTTGGGACTGTCCTCACAGGCACAGCATTATTTACAAGTTGTAAAGAATGATCTTTTCTTGCAGTTGATGCCTCACTTTAACATCCTTAAGCCATGGAGTAGCTCTGGCTCCTCTGGCCACAGAGGGAAAGGCTTTTGCATTTGCAGTTAACTGTGAGCAGAGTTGCAAGGATTTTCAAACCAGTTGTGGTCAATAATATTCTGGGTTTATGTGAAAGAGCCCTGGAATTTCAGAGACTTGCACTCCAAGCCTGTCATCAGCCTTAAAATTGGCATTCAAGATTTGATTGCTTTTAGTGTGTTTTAAAAAAAGAAGTGTGTGTGGATAAAGTTGAGTTATGGAGAGTGGCCCATTGCAGGCCTATAATTTAGTAATATATAAGCAGTGTAGTTTGGAGAAAATTGGGAAGAAATACTTCCACAGTTCTGTGTTTACAGTTTCCCCATCACATGATTTTATTTTTTATTCTCAAGTGCCATCCTCTTCTGAATGACTTGACTGCCAAATCTTTTGTAATGCTCTTCTCTCAACAAACATACTGTATCCCATAGCTATCCCTGCACACTGCTGGTAACAGATCCTGTTTTCCATTTAATTCTTAATTGCAAAAGACATCAGGGTTACCTTTCACAGCATAGTTTTCACATAAGAGTGATTTACCTGAAGAAATACAATTACCAGTGAGTGCAAAGGGCATCCCTGAGCATCCTTCAGGTTGTGAAAGATGTTCCAGGTGGGGGTGATGCTGTGCAGGGTGTGAACACTTGTCTGTGGGGCTTGCCTGGGATGGTTGGGCTGGCTGGGGACATGTGAATTAATACTGCTGTGTCACCAGGAACTAGTTCAAGCTCCTGTTAAAGGAGCATTTGGGCCATGGGAGATTATCAAGCAAAGCATGTTCTGGTAATAAATCATCGAGAATAAGGAGCTGACACCTCATCTGCAGTGTGCAGTTAGGACAGTTAGATGTTATCAAGTAACCTTTTATGCTCCCACCTTCCTTGCTGGGAATGTTACCAGGAGGGTCAGTTCTCATTATGAATGTATGCAAATTAAATAAACTCTGGCTGGCAGGGGCAGGTTTGTCCAGCAGCAGGTCTGCTGGGGGGGCACAGGCAGGCTCTAATGTGGCCAGTGGGCTGTAATGGAAAGTGGAATTTTCCTCTCTGCCGGCCAGGGCTGAAAGCTCTGCTGTCCCCAGGAGCTGAATGGCCAAGTGCTGAATAGCAGTTCATGTACCAGCACTCTTTGCTAACTGTTGATCACTCGTCCTTTATTAGGAAACTCCTCATGCGTGACTGCATGGTCTGGTACTTAATAGGTGGCTGGGAATAGGAGGGGAAAGAGGGGACAGCCCTTCAGTTTGCTCAGGATGTGTTCTTAATAAATTCTTATTAAATTCTTCTTTTTGTTTTCTTTTCAGACTTTGGCGTGAGCGCGTTCCTGGCCACTGGTGGTGACATTACCAGGAATAAAGTCAGGAAAACTTTTGTGGGCACACCTTGCTGGATGGCACCAGAAGTTATGGAGCAGGTGAATTGTTTTTTCCTCAGTCCTCTGAGCTGATCTGCACCTGGAATTCCCTGTTATCAGCAGTAGCTATATTTGCTTCAAACTAAGATGATAATTTGGCATCCTGTAAGCTTTTCCTAAAACCACAGGATTTTCTTCAGTTTGCCTGCTGCAGACAGGCTTGTACTGGGGAATACTAATTGTTCAGTAGATTTTTGCCCAATTGCTTCTGCTCAGGCTCCTGCTAAAGGTGAGATTGAGACAGCTCAGCTGTTGCATAAAGAAGATTAACCTGCCCCTCCCTCTTGCATAAATGTGAGGTAGAACATAAATAGTTTCACATGTGGTAAATATGCACCTATACAGCTCAGTAACGTGCTCTTCTGCATTTGCAAACATGAATTTAGGGTAGTTAATTGGGGTGTGTCAAAGAGGGGAGTTATCACTGGAAAATAACGTGCAGTTGACTTTATTCAGGTATTTAGCTTCTCTTGCCTTGTGAGTGTGCAGGCTGTAAAGGCTGAGGAATGATTGCATTTCCCCCTTCCTCCACTGCTCTTTTGACTTGCTAAAAGATGTCTTAGGTCTTCCCCCTGGGGGTGTCACTTGTTGTCCTCCTTTGCTTCTGGACTAAACTCAGAAGCATTGTCTGTGTGACTTCTGGTGAAGGCCACCTGGGAACTCTTTACTGTAAAATATCATCGCCCGTTTCTGAGCAAGATCCACAAACAAAATTACACCTCAGTCCTGACAGGGCATTTGCAGTAGGTGTTGATGGCATGGATGTTCAGTGTCATAGGCATTCTGAAAACTACCCCTTATTCCCTTAAAATCAGTTTGACAGAGGGCTGGACTCAGGGTTTTTGACAGATGTGCTAAGCAGAAATATAACAGGCTATAAATGTTTTTCTTTTTTTCCCTCCAATTTTTTTTATACAAAAATATTTTGGGAAAACATTGTTTTATTAAAGTAAACCCACCTTGTTACTTTTCTCCTTACTGTTGTTCACAATAAAATATTTTGAAGCTTAAGAGGAACTTGAATGAGATCCCCATGTGTATATCTATAAAATGAAATGGAGGTAAGACCGTGGTAGCACTTTAATGCATCTTTTCCTATATCTAAAACTTCTTGAGGAATGGAGGTAACTTTGGAGTAGCTTAAATGTATTATTGATTAAAGGCTTTTTCAGTGTTTGGCCTTTCCAGTGGCTCCCCATGGTGGCACTGAGGGGCCGGTGCTGCAACATCCTCAGAGTGTAAGTCTAACACTGCAGAATAAAGACACACTTCCCAGGTCAGGATCTGTCTTTGCAAATTTGATTCTGAACTGCTTCACTGTCGTATTATTCTGGATTTTTTAATTTAATGTTGATTTAAAATTAAATAAAAAGTGAGTATTTGGTGTTTCCAAAGGCAGATCAGTGATGTCCCTTGATATCCTGTCTGTTGTGTCCTGCAGTGCTGCGGCACCTACTGATGCTACTCCAGCCTCTTTGCAGGTGCAGTCCTCAGGACAAAATGGAAAAAAATCCTAAGGAGTGAGCTGAAAAGGGGAAATAAAGGTTTCAGTGACAAAGTGGGGGCTGGTCCCCCACAAATATATCTCCAAAGGAGGCAGGTTGTCTAGGGAGGGCAGTACCTCCATCAAGGCTGTGCACATCTAACTGGATGCAAATATCAGATGTTAAAGCAATATTTTGGATGCTGATGTGAAATCCTTCAGTGTCCACTAGATCATCTTGCTGCCTTCCAGCAGGTGTCACCCTGAGCCACTAGATCCAACTGGGAAAAGGGACAAAGGACTGCTGTAGGTTAGCAGCCTTAGATATGTCTATCTAAGCTGCCTTAGATATGTCGATATTATCAACCCAACTGCACCCGGTTTGCTTCAGCATCATTAATTTCCTTTACTGTGTTAATACGTGATGGCCCAGCGTTGTCTTTTAATGTATGTTCACTTGACAGATTTATGGCAAACAAAAATTGATGAGAAAAATAGATGTTGATATAAACTAACTGCAGGGTGGTGACTCATGTATTGGACACATGTCAAGATGAACTGCTGCAGGCAGTTTTTAACTTGATAGTTTTCATTTGCAAGCAGGATTAAGTGAAATAATTCAAAACCCCACACACAGTTAAAATCCCATTGGGGAATGGGGTTTTGTGCAGTGTATTGATGTGCTGCAAGAGTCACTGAAAGATACAGCTAAGAAATGTCCAAAAGTTATTCTTAAAACCTAAAAATAGTGTGAGGGGAAAAAAAACCCTACCCTTACAGCATATTTCTTCTTGCCATGTGCTCTTTTAAATTAAGCTACATATCTGTGCTTGTTTAGTTAACTGACTTGAAACCTGTTCAAAATCATTGCACCCATAAACTGAGGCACTGCAAAAAAAAACGTTTCAGATGTTTAAGCCTCATGAAAGTGATACTTACAGTGTTGGAGGCATTAGTGCAAGATATAAATTCATGTTGCTGTAATAAATTTCAGTTCAGCTATCGTATTACATGACAAATAGTGCAGGAGGGTTTTTTGTTTGTTTGCCAGAATTAGAGATTATCCTAAAGGTAGTTTGTCGGAATGTTGTTTGGTTTCCTCACAATGAGCGTCTGTCTTAAGCTTGTTAGGTTAGCTGAGCACAATGTCCCTGTTAGCTTTGCTCTGATTCAGTTCTCATTTTTCCATAGTCTAGTGAGAAGGAATACAAACCATCCTGAGCAACCAAAACGCTTTGATTTTCGTGGCTGCTCTTGAAGTTAGTACATAATGTCTCTCCCCTGCAGCGGAGAAAGCAAGTGCCAAAATATTACCTAATAATAATGAGGAAGTAACTGCTTTGGCATATGAAATATTTTTTCCTGTGCAGGAGGGGAAGTAAATGCTATAAATTTTCCTGAACGAGCCTGTGTTTAATGTCAAGTGCAGAAGCTACTGTTAATTAGTGGAGGGAAATATTAGTCTGCAGGCAGGAGCAAGGGGCTTCCACTGGGCTGGTGAGTCCTGGAGTTCCAGGATGGAGCATGTTTGCAGTCAGATTGATTAAGCGGCTGACTAAAAGTGTAGTGAGCCATGTGTCCCGAGGGGTAACAGCCCATCTATTAACTAGGAGACTTTCATTATGCTGTTTAATGACTCTCTGTGTCTTTGTGTAGAAGTCAGAGCCTGGTTTAACCCAGTGCCCCTTTATGTTCTGCACGTGTAGAGGTTTACAGCAGAGCAGTCCTAGTTGTATAGTCCACAACCATGATTTTCACCAGACTGCCACTTCTAAAACAGCTCCTCAAGGTACAAGCAGCTGGGGGAGAGGAGGGAGAAAGCCTTCCTTCCATCTCTGTGGTGCTAGTCTCTCCAAATTTGAGGGGAACAGAAGGAAAGGGTGAAAGGACTGTAGTGTAGGACAGTAAGGGGCACAGGATAACATCCTCTTTGTGTTTTTCAGGTCAGAGGATACGATTTCAAGGCAGACATCTGGAGCTTTGGGATCACTGCTATCGAACTGGCTACAGGGGCAGCTCCTTACCACAAATACCCCCCGATGAAGGTAAGCAGGTCTCCAGGTACCTGAGCAAGATAAAGGATCAGTGTGTTCTGTGGGTGTTCCCAAGAATTTGGCCGGCATGTTGTGTAGAAGAGTTTGTCCTCTCAACTTGCGCCTGTGGATCATGATGTTTTGGGATTTATCTGAAATCACCTTTTAAAAGTATGCCACTTAATCAGCATTATCTGAAACTGCACAGCTTTTGCTTAGATCCTGAGTCTCACCATTACAGAGGAAAGTGCTGTGTGTTTTAATCCCGGAACCTCTGAAGGCAGCAGATGTTTTTAGGGCTATAAATAATGATCCAGAGCGTGTTATCTGGCATCCAGTGACACTGGGATGGTGAGCCATTCTTTCTCCTGCACTGATAATCCTTCTTGACACCTCTCAGAAATTCTCTTAATACCTCTCGTGTTCCCTGTTATCCAAAAGAACTTCTAATTTTGTTTAATGCTGACACAATCTTGTGCAGTGCAAAGTACCACATCAGTGTGAAATGGCGTGGTAGTGGCAACACTAGTGTTTTATTAAGGTTGAAGTGAAGAAAATATCTTGAACTTCAGAGTGCCTTATAGTTTGGCTGACTTTCCCTATTTTCTGACTCTGGAATGAGGAGTTCATTCCAACGTGCTGCTCTTTCAGGAGGAGGGTACCTCTTAGAGTTAAGAGCTGACACCCACCAGTTGAGGTCTGAAGCATCCTGTCCTTCTGCTGAGCTTTGAGATCTTTTTCCATACCTCCTTTGTGATATCTGATGAGGCCTTGTCTCAGTCACAAAACGTTAAGCCCCTTTGGCCCACCCTCTTGAAGGCCACTCTGCTTCTATTATTGGGATGAATTCTCCCTTGGATCAACCACGAGGGGGTGGAGACCCCTTTTGGTACCCCCACAGCTTAGGGTTACAGTAATTACCTGGGATATGACGCCTGTGGATGTCAAGCCCCTCTGTTTTTGCCATGGGGAGAGGGACTTTTTACACGGACAGGACAAGGGGGAACAGCTTTAAACTAAAAGAGGAAAGATTTAGATTAGATGTGAGGAAGAAATTCTTTCCTGTGAGGGTGATGAGACACTGGAACAGGTTGCCCAGAGGAACTGTGGATGCTGCATCCTTGGAAGTGCTCAAGGCCAGGCTGGAAGAAGCTTGAAGCACCCTGGGCTAGTGGAAGGTGTCCCTGCCCACGTCAGGGGGGTTGGAATTAAATGAGCTTTGAAGTCCCTTCCAACCCAAACCATTCAATGACACCGTGGGACAAACTTTCCTTTTCCAAGTCCTACCTGCTGCAGTGCTGTGTGAGTTGTGTGTCACCTCTTCAGGACCTGGGTGAGTCCCCTCCCACCCCACAATTACAGTAGCACTTGGAAATCCAGTAACTCCCAACTCAGAACAGGCACATCCATATACCTATTTAAATGCCAGGCCTTTGCGCAAGTTCAACTCTTATAGAATTAATTTTAGGGCTTGTCATGTCCATGCAGGGACTGTTGTGTAGCTGAGTGGTTCAGAAATGCCATTAAAGTTCCTGCAATGTCAGTGACTGTGGCAGAGCTGGGAGGAGTTGAGGGAAATGTGTTGCTGGTTTAGCTGTTGCTGCTTTCATTGATATTTCCTTCTGTGCTGTGATGATTGGTAGCATTTTTCAGCAGCTTCTGCAAGTTGGACTTCTGTTCATTGTGGTTTGAATGCCTGGGATGAAGCTTTGAATACCAACATCACCTATTTAGTATCATGTGCCATATCTACCATTTAGTCTATGGTAGATAGAACTGAGTCCCTAATTCTGTTAGGTTTGGGTTCCAGTTGTGCAGCCTGCAAAAAAGACTTCTCTCTTTTACTTATTGAATGTAATTGTACTGCACTGCAGATTAATGTTGTTATGTAGCAAAATTACCCATGCATTAACTGACCCTCCAAGGAGGGCTGAAAAAAGCAGGGAATTCTGTCATGGACTGTATAATTCCAGCTAGATTGATGGGCTTTTGCAGCCCTAAGCAATGTAGCTGTTGAAAGCTATTTAAATATGCTATGTGCTGCTTCCTTTTCTAAAAATAGATATTCATCTCTATGTAGGTGACAAGTGGAAATGGAAATGAGTAATTTTCTTCCTTTCCTTCAGAATATCTAAGTGATGTGAAGGAAATAATCAGTTTGCCTTGATGGGTGCTTATGTGAGAAATGTCTTCACCTGCTGTTGCACTGGTACAGGGAAGTAAACCTTTGTGGTTTTTTAGGTTGCCTTTCTGCCTTTACATTAATTTGATTTCTAGCTAAGAAATACCTGCAGGGAGGTGCATTGAATCAAATGCCTTGCACAACTGCTCATCTCAAAGGAGGAAAGCTGGTAGAAGTTTTGCCCTGCTTGTACCTTTAATCACACTAAACAGGCCTGAAATCACATCCCAACCTTGTGTTTGGCCCACAGGCTCCCCTGTGGGCCAGGAAATGGGATGAAAAAGAGTAACTTAAATTGCTAACACATCCTGGTGGACTCAGATGCGTGATGAAAATGCTTGTCTAAAAATACATTTTTCCCCAAGATCTGTCTCTAACAAAGGCCAAGAAAAATCTCATTGCCAACAGACATAATTCTTTCAGGTTTTAATGCTGACACTACAAAATGATCCCCCATCTTTGGAAACTGGTGTGCAAGATAAGGAGATGCTGAAGAAGTATGGGAAATCATTTAGGAAGATGATTTCATCATGCCTACAAAAAGACCCTGAAAAAAGGTAAGAAAGGGTGACACCAAAGAAAATTAAAATAAACCCCAACAGACTCACAAACCTCATTGTATTCCCTATTTTTTTTCAAGTTAATGCACTCTCTGCCCCTCCAGCCTTTCAGTCACAATGAACACAGCAGTCTTGCTGTGTGGCAGCAGATTTTCTTGGCTGTCCTTATTTTTATGGATAAATGTCTGGCGTGGTGCCTGGCCAGGGCACACATCCCCCATTTGGGTTAATGAGAGTTCATCCCAGTCCACTGTGTGGGCAGGGCTGTTCTCCCCTTGCCACCTCCAGCAGGTGACTGCAGTTCATGTTTTGTTCCCAGTCAAAACTGCTCTGTGTTTATAAACTGGAAATTGCAGGTTGGGCAATGCGTGTTTACTTACAAAACTGCGTAAATAAACTTTTTTAAAATTTGCCAGTGCAAAGAAGGCTTTCAGCCTTCAGTTTTGTCTCGTTTAATTACGAGTAATATTTGGTTTGGAGGGGAAATGAGGAAAAACACTGGCAAATTTTACCAGCCTGTTTTCATCAATGCAGATTAAGTGACCTGATGACACTTTCAGCCTTCCTTGAGCAGTATCTTGACTACTCAGTGTTGTAGGAAATAGTACTGAGGGGGTGGTGTGCGTGTTGTGTCATTTTTAATACCTCTTAGGGTGGTTTTTTTTCCCCCCTCCTTTTCCTCCTCAGTAAGCAAACTTAATTCTGGAAAGGAAAAAGTGCTTTCATAAAATAATAATAATGAAGACATTTTTCAGTTCCCTCTTGTGTCAGATCCAGGAGCACAGGCTTCTCACGCATCGTGTGATGCTCTTGAAATGCTTAATGAATCCAGTGGAGTGCTTGATAAATGCTGATAGCTGGGGCTTTTTCACAGCATGATATTTTTTTCCACCTTCCTAAAGCATATCCTATCCCTGCAGGTTAGGATGTGTGCTGATCAGATTATCCATAATCACTCTGGATCGTGGCACACCCCCTCTCTCACCCCAAGCACCGCTAACAGCCACTGGCATCATCCTGACTCTGGGAGCAGGAGGCACATTCCATGGGTTCTCAAAGGGGAGAACTGAGTGCAATTGCTTTTTAATTATTTTAGGGACTCCCTTGCTATAGGGTGAATGTTTTTTGTTAGAGTAGTCTGAGATAAAATAAACCCTGAGATAAGTGGCCTTTGCAAGTTACTGATTAAACTCTGTTAGTGTTTAAGCACCGTTTGCAGTGTGGGAAATGCTCTAAGCCTCTACTTTCTCATTTAGGCCTGAGTGTTTAGAAAACTCCTCCTAAACTGACCAAGAGATGTCTCTTACTTTCCAGTATTTATTCTAAAGCCTGACTTCAAGGGGAAAATAGTTTTTAATTGTTCCTTTTCTATTAGACAAGGGTTGTTCATCCTGCCTGTGTTTAATAGAACTAATTACACACATTTAATCAAGTATCTCTGAAATAGCTGTTACTTGCACACAGTGAGTGCTGCACTCCTGTGGTAGGTGATGATTCTGTGATTTCAATTTTGAGCAAATTGTTTCTGTCATCCTGTTCTTAACTAAGAGTCTCAAGCGCAGCATCAAAAAGGAGGCAACTTCTCCCTCCCAGTCCCAAGTAATTCACTGCTTTGGAACAGAATTGGCTTTGGTCAGAATACACTGAGTGTTTGAAAGACTGCTGGTGGTATAAAATTCACTTGGAATGCATTGACTAATTTTTAGGGAATTGTGCAGGAGAAGCTGATGCCCTTAAGAGATGCCATATTACAAGAAGCTGCAGCAGCGTGGAAGACCGTTGTGTTGAAAGGGAGCACTTATAATTGTCTTTTCTGCATCTGTTTTTATTGACAGACCCACAGCAGCAGAACTCTTAAGGCACAAATTTTTCACGAAAGCAAAGGTAAGGACACACTTCCTAAACTGATCTGTGCAGAGGCTGTGGAGAGGACTTTTCAGAGGCATGATAGGTGTGGTGACAGCTTTATTGGCAGGAGTGTGGGCTGTTCCACTCGGGGCCAGCACAGCTGAGTGAGTTGAATGGGTCATTGTGAAGGAACAGAATGAAACCCCCCTTCTGTACCTCCTGTGTGTGCTGTCATTAAGAGAAATTATCTAGAAATTCTTGAGCATTTAAATGTCTTTCAGTGTGCCTTTTGGGGTTTGTTCTTCTCTTGTAATGGTTCCATTCTGGCTGCCTGTCCAACCATAAAGGTCTCTGTGGCAGCGAATGTAACTTATATTTTAATAAACTCTATAATTAGTCTGTATGCAAAGGGGTGAATGAGGCCCGCTGTGCCAGGACTACCTAAATCTATTTCACCCTGTGTTGCCATATGGAAAGTGAGGATCCTGTGATACAAAACAGTAGGAAACTCCCATTTCTAGCCCTGAAGTGAACTGCCAGCAAGCATTATGTAATTACTGCCTGGAGATTACTGCATGTGCAACGTGCAGGGTCTTATTGAGGGAGACAGGAATAATACAAGGGAGAATTTGTATTTCCACAGGCACGAGGAAATGTTTTCTGTTTCCTTATTTTTTCTGTGGCATGTTTGTGATCAAAATGCATGGGGTTTGTAGCAGAATACAGATTAAACTGTCAAAAAGAGATTCGATGCTTGGGTTAGCACAGCTGCATCACCAATTAATCTGGGAGCTGAAAACTACTTTGATTAAGATGCTTAAATGGAAGTGGCCACATCCAGGTATCTGTTCAGGAGCTGGATGTTCTTTTAAAGCTGACAGAAATCCAACAGGTGCAGCCAAGGGGAGGTTGTACTTCCTCCTCATGAGAGGAAATGGAGAGGTAGGACCTGAGGGAAGCGCATGGAGCTGCATCAGGGGAGGTTTAGATTGGGTATTAGGAAAAGGTTCTGCGCCCAGAGGGTGGCTGGACGTTGGAACAGGCTCCCCAGGGCAGTAGTCATGGCACCAAGCCTGACAGAGGTCAAGAAGTCTTTGGACAACACTCTCAGGCACATGGAGGGATTCTGGGGGCTGTCCTGTGCAGGGCCAGGAGTTGCACTCAGTGATCCCTGTGGGTCCCTTCAGTCTCAGGGTATTCTGTGTTTTAATAATTCTGTGAACTGAGGAAGTCTAGAGAGTGATCCAGTTTATGAAATGTAGTAGTTTAGCTTTAGGGCATGTTTAATTGATGTCTGGGCTCTTGACAGTATTAACTGGGTTTTCACTGTCCGTGGTGGGATTTTAGGCATCTGTATGCTGGATGCACACTTGGTATCCAAAGTGACAGGATGGCTTACACATTTGCTGACCTTTCTCCATTTGGTTCTGCAAGTTGTGGATCATGTTACACTTCATTGTGTGTTAAATCTCCTTTGTGCTTTCATTAAGCTGCCGTGGAGTAACATATTAGCATGTGTGGTGATAGAAAATTAACATTATTGTAAATGAGGCAATACTTAACCCGGCATCTGAAGTGAAAACGTGTTCCAGTTCACACTCAGGGTTCAATTACTGTCATACATCAGCCACTGCCAAACTGACAGCTGGAACTTGAGGGCTGAAGAATCCGACTTCTACACGTCTATATAGAGTCATAAATTTAAATGCATTTATGTTATGGAAAAGTATGGTTTGATAATGCTGAGAGCCACTTATCAGGACTGACAGCATGTGTCTTGAGACTCCCCATCCTGTCTGCAAGCAGCCACTGCAGGGGAGTTCTGGGAGCACTGCATGGCCAGAGACAACAGGACTTTCCAGCCTCACTCGTGTGCTGTGGAATACCCAGCTAAATCCCAGTGCATACCTGGCTTATCCTGCCTCCTCTCCAGCCAGAAGTTTGGCCCTGCAGTCCAGCAGCCAGAAAATTACACTACCAGGAGCCCACATTCCAGTCTGGTGCATCTTGCTGAAGAGGGAATTTAATACAATAAAGCATCCCAGCAGTTTCCCAATATTTAATCTGTCGTGATGCTGCCTTTACTTCCTCTCTAAACATAAATGCTGCACATTTTTTCAGCCACTTTCCATCTTGCTGCCCTAATTCCTCGATCTTGTTACTCCAGCATAGAGGGATTCCTGCATCCCAGCCTGCCTGACGTCTGAGGTTTGCCTTTGACAGTTGGACAGGCATAAATTTAGGAGTAAGATAAAGCAAAGGGGTTGGATCCAGGTGGTGTAGTATCTGCTGATGGAAGAATGCCAAATGCCTCAGCAGGGTGTCAGATGCTGCAGTATAACAAGTGTATTTCCCAGTAAATCATAATAATATCCAACTCCTCAGTTGTTAATTCCATATCACTTTGCAAGAGGAAAGTGTCACTGCTAACTGAAAAGGTAATTTAGGATGAAACTTCATATTCTGTGGTTCAGAGTAAGGAAGGAGTTAGTATGGGGGTGAAACATTTAAACCACTTTCTGCTAGAAATTGCTTAGCAGTTACTTTATCAGAGACACTGAAGGAATCAAAAAGCACTTTCAGCAAAGCAAATGTTTGGTATTTTTTTCTTTTGCAGAATAAAGAATTTTTGCAAGAGAAGATGTTGCAGAGAGCACCAACAATCACTGAAAGATCCAAAAAGGTACTGAAAACCTCCCGGGCTCTTGCTGTTACTCTTGTACTTGTATTTTAGGTTTGTGTTCACATTTTTAATGATAATTAGTGTAGTACAGCTGTTTGTAGATACAGAACTAGACATTTCAATAAAATACTCAGGTACTCTGGCAGGTGATGCAACAAGAAGATGCTCTGGTGCTGTTTCTCCTGAAAAGAGACCAACTGTAGAAACTGTTTGCTTGATCCAAGCCCTGCCTTTGTTCTGAGCAGGTCCGGAGGGTCCCAGGCTCCAGTGGGCGTCTTCATAAGACTGAAGATGGTGGCTGGGAATGGAGTGATGATGAACTAGATGAAGAAAGTGAGGAAGGCAGAGCAGCAATTTCACAGCTCAGGGTGAGTCCTCAAACTTCACCGTCTCTGTTTCGTTTTCCACTTGTCGTGTGTCTAAATATATTTGGGAAGCACGGGGTCTGAAGTGTGATACACAGCAAATTATAATCCCTGCCGTGGAGTTTGGAGCTGAAGCAAAGAAAGCAGACTGAAGGTTGAAGAAATTGTATTGATCTCTTCTGTCATCCTTATGGGGCACAGCTGGTCTCATCCAGGGATGTTGAGCATAATTGGGAATGTGAATTCTCACATTGCTCTGCTCCCAGCTCAGCATACTAATTCACTGGAGCTAGGATATTCCCTTTAAGGGTGCTGACTATTTGAGATGCTTTCTCGTGGGAATATCAGGAGAGGTTTTGTCCTGCTGCCCTCCCCAGGATGGAGCTGAAATCAATAGGCCCTGTCCTTATGGCACACAAGGTTCTGTCCCCTCAGTTCCACTGAGATCGATTATTCCTGATAGAAAACCTTACAGCATCCCTGAAGTCACAGGAGTGATTGGTCTAGCACTTGGAAATACTCAAAAAATCACCACTTCCCCCTCTCCCAACACATGCACAAAGCCCCTCAAACCCAGACTAATCCCCAGGAACACAGAGGAGTAATGCATAATGATCAGCTGAAAGATTGCAATTAATTTTCAGGCTGTCTTCCCCCAGCAGTCAGCAGCCTGGGTTTTGACTGTAATGGCTTGCCTGGTCCCTTTTCACTACAGCAGGTGGCTTGAAGTAAACCTTGTGTTTTAATCATCCTGTAATTGAATTAGTGAGACAGTGAAGGATTTTTAGAGGAAGCTTTTCAATGTGAAAGGGAAAAAAAAAAACCCAGTATTGGTTTGAAGCATTTATTCCTTTACAAATTTTTTCATTTCTCTTTCATTAGTCTTCCTTCTGCTAGTGTTTTGAATAGTGCACTTAAATATTAAATGCAGGATTTTACATCTTTTTAGCATCTTTTGAAATGCTTGGGTTTTTTAAAGCCACTACTAATATAGTAATTCCCTTCTTTATGACAGCAATTATCGTGACTTTTTAAAGAGCTTACTGTATCTAGCTTCATGTTACACAGTCAGGGAAGATCTTGGTACCAGGTGGCTACTGCTTTGAGGCTTCATAAGCTGAATTATTCTAAATTCCTTTTGTAGGTTTAAATATGATCAAATTTTAGGAGGCAGCATTGTAAGAGACCCTAATTCTCTTCCAGAGATTACTTAGAACTTGTTGTATTTTGTCTCTAAGCTCAGGGTACTATGACTTAACCCTGTTTACTGTGTTTTGAACAGTACTTACTTGTTTCATTCCTCTTAGGCAGAAAGAAGCAGATTGACACACATGTTTACAAGCTTCTTTTCAAGCTGTTTTTTTTCTTGATGCTCTGGCACATTTCCTTGCGCTGCTGTCTGTTCTCCTTGCTCTAATTTGGGCTGTGCTTGCCCTTTTTACTTGTGGGCCTCCTGTTCAGAAAACCTTTAGGGGGATGTTGGGGTAGGAAATCTTAATTGAGTTACCTAAATGTAGATATTTATTACCGTTCTGAAGGCACCCCATGCATATACACCACCAACCTTTGGGAAACCCACATGTTACAGGATGTCAGGAAGGGCACTGTGGCATCTTAGACCTCACTGCATGTCTGCCTGGGTACTGGAATTTGATCCCTTTTCAAGCAGTTTAAAGACTTGTATCCAGACTTCCCAATTTTTGCCATGAATATGGTGGTGCTATTGAGGACTAGTGTCTATCCTGTGTTTTTGGCCATATTTCAAATACAGCGTGTAAATTCCACCTGTCTGTAAATCCCTCTGCAATTTTAAGTAAGTTGTTGGATAGAATAACTTGTTTTAACTATGTGTCACCTTTTATTCCTGCCCATTGCAACAGGGGTGGAGTAGATAATCTTTAAAGGTCTTTTCCAACCCAAACCATTTTGTGACTCTGTGATTCCATCTGTACCTCTATTTTGTTGCTGTCAGCCACAAAGTAAAAGGAGGCCTTGCAGGCTGACTTAACTTGCCAAAATACTGAAGTACTAACGTGCATAAAAGCGTTTACATAAACGAAAGGTGTTTGTATTTTTTATTTATTTCCACTTTACAGAAAAATTAGGGTGAATTTAATGTGTACAAACGTTTTACAAGCCTCTTGCTAGGACTGCACCTGAAAGTAGGCAAATATTTACTATACCCAGAGCCAGAAGTATCTCTTCACTTCACTGAGTATGGTGACTTGTTGGCTCAACATTACCTTTTGGATAGAAAGACTTACTGAACTTCCTTCCTCTCTGCATTTAAAGCTTTGAATTCAAATTAAAGCAGTTGTGTTCTCCAGGCTCTTAAGTCATTCACCTCGTGTTGCCCAGTAAATCTGTGCACTGGTGAGTTGTGTGGTCCCATTTCACTGCTTACTCACATCACTGATTACACAAGCAAAAATTACTCAGAACTAACCTCCCAAGTCATCCTATTCGTGCCTTAGGTAAATGTCTTCTAATGTTTGTTTTCTTTTTCTCTGTGTTTTTCATAAAACTGTAGAGTTGTTAAGGTTGGAAAAGACCTCCAGGGTTGTCAAGTCAACTGTTAACCCAGAACTACCATGTTCACCTCTAAACCCTGTCCCCAAGTGCCACATCTACGTGTTTTCTGAACGCTTCCAAGGATGGTGACTCTACCACTTCCCTTGGCAGCCTGTCCCGATGTCTGGCCGCCTTATCAGTGAAGAAATATTTCCTAAAACCCAATTTAAACCTCCCCTGGTGTAACTTGAGGTCGTTTCCTTTGTGTTATCTCTTGTTACCTGGGAGAAGACATCGACCCCCACTTGGCTACAACTTCCTTTCAGGCAGTTGTAGAGAACAATAAAGTCTCTTCTGACCCTCCTTTTCCCCAGGCTAAACACTCCCAGCTCCCTCAGCTGCTTCTCACAGGACATGTGCTCCAGACCCTTCCCTAGCTCTGTTGCCCTTCTCTGGACCTGCTCCAGCACCTCACTGTCCTTCTTCTCATGAGAGGCCCTCAAACTGACCACAGGAATCAAGGTGCAGCCTCACCAGTGCCCAGGACAGGGGGACAATCACTGCCCTCATCCTGCTGGACACACTATTGCTGACACAGGCCAGGTGCCATTGGCTTTCTTGGCCACCTGGACACACACTGGCTCGTGTTCAACCAGCTCTCAACACTGCTGTTTGTCATTTATCTGGGTTAGCTGTTAGCTGAGGGGCAGGGCCAGTGTTTCCTTACTTGTCTGTACAGTGTTCAGCACACTGTGATCTCTCAGACGAGTTCCTTTTACGTAATTCCTTGAGGCATCCAGGTACTCTTGGATATGAGCTTTGTGCCTGAGAGAACAGTGCAGCAGCTGTGGCCTGCAGATGTGGAGCATGGCTGTTTCTCTGGGAGCAATGCCACGTTTTTCATCTTGCCTGGTGACTGTCAAGTCAAGGCTGAGCACACTGAGATGGATTTCAGGCTTTACCTTTCCAGCTGCTTGACTTTTTTCCTGACACTGCCTGCACACAGTCATCGTGAGGGAAATATTCCTTCTCCTCCCATCCAGAGGGCTTTTTGCAACTTGCTGTTCTGAGAATAAGACTTTTTTAACCTTTTCTCATGGGAAGGTTCTCAGCAATATGTTACAGATTGCTCTGATATGCACTTGATAAGGTCGTGGCTTTGATTGCTGCATAGACTGGCTCAGGATAGTGGCATGATGAGACTTAATGTTCTGCTGCTGAGCTTCTACTGTCCAAATAGCAACCTGTCTGTTAGACCATTGTGTGGAGAAGGAACATCTATTTTATTAATCCCAGCATGGACCAAACCATCCTACGTATCTCCATATAGTAATTGGCCCTATTGGAAGTCTAAGCTTCTCTTAATTGCAGAGCTTCCCTACTTGGCAGTTCCTTACTGCTCATGTGAAACAGCTAATGTTGTTATCTTTGTTTTCCTGATAAGCAAAGGTTGGTCACATTACTCTGCACTTTCCCCTTTGTTCCACTGATCTCTTTGTTTCGCTGCTGAACTCTGCACACCTGTCAGTTCTCTGCTTTCTCTCACAAAGAGCACAGCATAATAATACAGAGTCCAAGGGCAGGGAGAGCAAGCCAGGGATTCCTTCTGTAAAGCAGCATAACCAAGACTGATTCCCCTCTCCCACCCCACAAAGGTTTAAAATGTCTTAAGCACGTTGGTTTGCAAACTACTTCTCTAAGTGTACAAAGAGGATTTGTTTTCTAGCAGAATTCTGCCAGGCAGATTTGTGTGGCTTATCGTTTTCTGCCAGGCTTGGGTAGCTTAAAATGGATTTTGCCATCTTGGTGCATAAGTAATTTGATCCAATCTGAGTGATCTTCCAGAGTCCTGGATTTTGCTAATAGGTAACAATGATAGCAACTTAGGGTGTCATGTGCCAATGTGGAAGCATCGACTGCAAATTCTGAAACACTGATTGTGTTTCTGGCTGGTACAACATCACAACAAATTGTGTGATGTTCCTTTTATTGTGCATCCTAATACACATATGTAACCTGAAACAGTTATGTAGGTTTCTCACATTCAGTATGGTTCTCACAAGTGCTGGTCAATAAATTTCACTTCCATTGAAGCACTGACAGCTTTTTCTCTGTTTTTCAGTCTCCCAGAGTGAAAGAACCTGTACAGAATTCCGAGGTAAGTTCTAATAGACAGTGGCTTCCTGAAACGATGACTCCTAATTATTGCTGATGTTTCAAGGAACATGCTTTAATTAGCCTTTGGAAGCAATATTGTATGAAGGAGAAGCTGGGGTATCTAGCTGAGCTCTGTTTGAAGAGCTCCCCATAAAAGGAATTCTTGGCTGTGTAATGCCAAGAGCTCTTCCTGGAGTAAGTTTGGTGTATGTCTTGTCTCCTTCACTTGCTAAGGCAAAAGTCTGTGTATTGCAAGGTAATGAACTGGTCACAAGAATAATTTAAGCAAAACAGCTGTGTTTCCATTTCCTCTTTTGAAAAAAGCCCAACACAAACTCAACAGAACACAATTCTGAGATGTCTGGTTTGCATACTCAAATTCTCTGGTTTGGAACCAGAGAACTCAGAATCTGCTCAGAACTGTGAAAGGAATCTGTAATAATATTTGATAGCAAACAAGGCTTCAGCTGCAATTTGTAGTCTTCCTTCAGTTCTGAACTGTTTCTTACATCAGGAATATTGGTATATCTTATTCTCTCAGTGATAGGGACTGCTTATCTTCCAGAGACTGTGCTGTGTCTGTCTTTTCCCTACCTGTGTGGAAAGATAAACAGAGCTGTCTCCTAGAAATTCGCCTTGGGTTGGGCTCTCCTGTTCTTCCTTTGTTTCCCAGAAATGTTTATAGAGGGAGATCTTAAGAAAGACTACAGTTGTGGCACTGTAATTTGACATAAATTCTAAATTCAAAGCAAAATCTGAAAACCAGGTTCCCTTTGGGATGAATTTTCCCATTGTAACACATTCTTTAATATGTATTGTGATCTGGAGGTCCCCTGCCAAGGTTTTCAATAATCAAGGTGATTTGTATTTCCTACAACCCATCAGAGTAAGCTGGAGGGCACACTGAAGTGCCATCAAACTGACAGTTTTTTGGCTCCAGTGCCATAATCGGTTTTTCTGTTCTGAATAACAAGAGATAAAAAAGATTGAACTTTCATTTACCTCTTTTCCCCACCCTCAAATTACTTTTTTTCAATTTATTTTTCCCC